AACACTTCTAAACGTTTTTTTAATGGTCATTTCGAGTGATATGATATTAAAACATAACTTGTCATTTTGTTTACGAACATACATATATTATTAGTTAGACACATAATCATTGTGAACACTTCTAAACGTTTTTTTAATGGTCATTTCGAGTGATATGATATTAAAACATAACTTGTCATTTTGTTTACGAACATACATATATTATTAGTTAGACACATATTCATTGTGAACACTTCCAAACGTTATTTTAATGGTCATTTCGAGTGATATGATATTAAAACATAACTTGTCATTTTGTTTACGAACATACAGATATTATTAGTTAGACACATATTATTGTGAACACTTCCAAACGTTATTTTAATGGTCATTTCGAGTGATATGATATTAAAACATAACTTGTCATTTTGTTTACAAACATACATATATTATTAGTTAGACACATATTCACTGTGAACACTTCCAAACGTTATTTTAATGGTCATTTCGAGTGATATGATATTAAAACATAACTTGTCATTTTGTTTACGAACATACAGATATTATTAGTTAGACACATATTCACTTTGAACACTTCCAAACGTTATTTTAATGGTCATTTTCGAACTGGGTTTCATTGCACATTTTCTTTTTTCAATTTTAAAAGTAGTGCTGCCGTCCTTGAGAACCCCCACCCCCTTTATTTTACGAAGTGTTCTCCTAAATAGAACAAATGTATGTATAACATGTTTGTGGAAATACCATTTCTAGACTAGATGTACAGTAACTTATGCGTTTCTGAAATGAAATAAATCCGTTTAACTTAGTTGTTTTGGTGTGGTGGTTACCATGGGAAAATGCGCTTTCAATTTTGATTTTAAGAAAACGTGTTGTTACGATGTGGCAGGCAGATGTTACTCCTCCATAACTTATACTATTTCCGTGCTATTAACGTTTTTTATTTAGAAAGAAAAACTTATGCGACATCTAACTAAAAAGAGATAATACGTCATTCTACGAAATTTATAACCTACCTCAAATACAAAAAAGCCCCATTCACACGTGTATAATTGTGACGGAGGCGTAATATAACACTCGTGTTATCTCTAAGTCCCGCCTTCACTGTGAAGTCATGTTTGTGTTTCAGTAATGGCCTATTTTTCGTTTGTTGCGATAATTGGTTTTGGATATCATTAACACTTCAAGAATATATGAAACCGAGTTGCTACTATAGTGATATTGTGTCGTGATATCAGCAGCGCAAATTCCTAAGGATTTTTGGGTCCTATTTATTTCATCATACAGTAACCTAAATTAATTTAGATATGTAAATAATATTATGACATTTCCCCTAATTCAACAGTATGGTGATTTGTTTGTTTGTTTGAAGTTAAGCACAAAGCAACACAATGAGCTTTCTGTGCTCTGCCCACCACGGGTATCGAAACCCGGATTCTAGCGTTGTAAGTCCGCAGACATGCCACTGTGCCACTGGAGGGCACAGTATGGTGAATTTAAAAGGACTCAAAACCCCATAGATATTATATACACTTCACCGTTATATAATACAAGAGGCCTAACTGTATGTATTTAGTTTTCTGATCCAAGCTGTGCTGATTGAGCCTTGAATAGGAGAAACTGCAGTCCGTAGTAGATGTTATAGCCAATCAAGAACGAGGAATGCATTAGGCTTCTACGTCACAGTGCACATATCAAACAATTATCAGACACAAAAAAAGACTTACAAAAATCATGATAGTGGGCAACGTTTCTTGCATGAAACATGCATAAAGTGGTCCTGTGTAAAAAATTACGAGCACGTTTTCTTGTCCCGCACAATCCATAATTCTTCGTTACTGGAAAATATAGAAGTGTTATTTGTTTATTTTGGAAATTCGCGCAAAGCTAAACGAGGACTATCTGTCCCTACTTTTGAACCGAAGACTAGAGATAAACAGCTGGACAACATCATCCATTGTCAAATCTTGAGATACCCTAATTGCATTCTAGGATTTTACCTTTACTCTTATAACGCACCCACGGCCCCAAAAGAACGGCGAGAGTTTTAGCAGCAATGGGATGCGAATTGTGAACACTCGTATTAAAATTTCAGCATGCTAACTAAAAGGCCACGCCCGATTCGACTACGAAATGATCAGCTCATTGCCTGAATACAATATGTGATTATATATAGGCCACAAAAATATTTGTTTTGAAAAACTTGTGAGAGAGTGCCAGTACGTTTATACAAAAAAATAAAAGAAAGATATTTGGAAAAAAAGATCTGCCTTTTTTTTTCAGAATGTGAATCCGATAGCCAGAGTGTTTCTAAAAGCACTCGGATTATGGTACTGAAGTCGCTTCTAAAGAAGTAACTAGAATCGTATATAATGATATGCCAACCACATTATACCTGTTATATCCAGTACCAACGAGGCCTTTTGTTCAATACTGAGGTTCTTCAGACCTGATGGAATACGATAGATATATTCATATTCGCAAATCGCTTCACAACAAATGTGAGGGAAAGGAGTTAAATAAAATTGGTGAGGCGTAATTTTTCATCAATTTTATTTATGTCACAACACATCAGAATTAAGACAAAGTTTATCTTTGTGGGTGTAAAACACTTAAATACACCATTTCGATTTTCGATACCTCATTACTTATAAAGGCTTGGTTTGGTCTGATATTTCATTCGTGGTAGTGTCCAGGGTCACTGATGAGGAGTGGAATTCTCCGAAACTAATCTGGCTCACAGACACACCCCCCATGAAAGAATAGTCCATTCCAAGCTTTAACTTGTTGTTAAACAAATGTTTAAACAACTCTACTCAATTAAGACAAAGTTTTTTTTATGTGTATTATTTATTTGTCAACCAAATATATCATTAAGTATTATTTCTTGAAATATACCTTTACATAGTCGTTTTTTTACAAATATGAAACTTCCATCCTTTAAATATTTTAGTCAATGGCTAAGTAACTGTTATTTACAATACTTTAATATATTTTTATTCACGATTCATTTTATTGTATTTGCAGGTGTACTGGTTCGGCCCCCTGGCGGGAGCCATGGTAGCAGGTCTGATTTATGAATATATTTTTGACACCAAGAAAGCTGCCAAAACATTGAAAGAAGCCTTAGACGAAGTCGAAAAAGGTATATATATATATATATATATATAAACCAAAGATTGAAGTGAAAACTCTTAACCCCTTTTTTTTTTCTGTAGACCAGATTTGATTCTGAATTACATTTGGGACATTTTGTTTACTGGACTTCGTGCAAAATTATTCAAGGACTATTTGCGCGATACACTAAACTTTATCCGAAGGTACAAACCCCAAGTTAAAGTAATCCCCGAACGTAAAGGGGGCATTTTCCTTCAGCCCAAGACTCCGGAAGACCTCAGATACTTTTGCCAACCATGGTACTCGAACCCACCCGTAACCTGCCAGCTCCCAAAAAGCAGCACCAGCCTACCCACGGTCTGTTTGAGAAACGCTGAGCTCCCCAGTGGCAAAGCGGTATGCCTGCGGACTTACAACGCTAGAAACCAGGTTTCGATACCCGTGGTGGGCAGAGCACAGATAGCCAATTGTGTAGTTTTTTGCATAACTACAAAAAAAACCAACAAGAAACGTGGACAAATCCTTCACTACCGACGAAATCCACCAAGCCCTTGAAATAACCATCTACTCAAGTATCCACGCAGTCCATCGAATAACATCTAGGAAATCAGGATCTCCCTCACACTTCATAAAAGTTGTAACAACATCTCAACAGACAGCGAACTTCATACTTGCACGCGGCTGTTCTCTTGACTTCTACCATTTCAAGGCAGAAAAACCGTACTGAAAACCTCACCCGCCCCCAACCCTAATCAACATACCTCCCATGTTCCCTCCACGCCACTCCCGTACAACACCCGCCGCCAACCAGGATACCCAAACTTATAGTTTGAAACAAGCAACAGTAAAAAACCAACAGACACAAATAGCAACTATAACCGAAATCATAGAACGAGACAAGTCAACCCAAACAACAACAGCAAAAAAAAGGAACCCAGACCCAGCCACAACCAAAAAAATCATTTCCAACCAGAAACCACCGAGAAATCACAACAACCATTCTCACCCCTTAAGCCAGACACGCCTGCCGAAAATTGGTCGTCAAACTAATCGCCTTACTAATAGACACTTCCACCGA